AATCGACCGCAGTGCTCGCCCTGACACCAATCAACCGCCGCCCCGAAGGGACAATCGCCTTCACCGCAATTCCTCGCCGGACATCGAGGCCCCCAGTTGGCTGCAGAAGAACCCTCCGGCTACGCCGCCGACGGACCACACGGCCAGTCGCGGCCCTCGTGTGACGCCGGTCCAGAGGGGGCATCTGATTCGCCACTTCTACCAGCAGCTGGAGGCACTCGGCCGAGCCCATCCCGACACGCCTCTGTGTCTGCGGTTCAGGAGTGGGTCTGCCCTGACCCAGCTGGCCGTGGAGGTGGTCCTGCCTGGCACGCCAGTGCAGTCGGTGCCCCTCTCAGCGGCCACCAGGGAGGCCATGGGGGCGGCCATCGATGCCGCTTGGGCATGCCGCCAGCAGGAGATGGACATGGACGGCACTGAGGACCAGCAGCCCATGACACACGCCCAGCGGATGGTCCTCTGTCGTGTGTATGGTCAAGTGGGAGACAACATTGGGGCGATGCTGGCGGCCGTCCCCTCTCTGAGTTTTGCCTCCATCGACTCGTTTGTGCGCCGTGAGCTGCCGGGCATGGTGGGGCAGCGCAACGGCGAGGACATCAAGGAGGCCGCCAGTCGATTCATCAAACAGCTTCAGAAGACCAATCAGCAGCACACCACACCAGCCCTGCCCAAGCCGCTCAAGGCGGCAGATGACGAGCAGCTGCCGAGTGCTGGCGAGCTGGCCGACATCGACATGACGATGCGGCCGCCATCTTATCAGCCCGTGAATGGCCCACACGCACCCAATGTGATGCAGGCACGAGATCCGAGCACGGCCGATCGCATGGCGGATGGGACGACGCACGAAGGACGGGCTGGTGGGCATGGCGATGGCAATGGCGAGAGGGAGGGCGAGATGATTCCGTTCGATGAGTTGACAAAGGTTCAGCTGGTGGAGCTGCTCAAGGCCCACCCATCACCCGACATGCGACACGTAGCCGACAACATCATGGTCAGCACACCACACACATGTGAAGGCAGGCTGACTTAAACGTATGTGTGTCGTCTTCCCTTCTGTGTGTGTAGGCGTTACGGGTCGGCGCAGCGGTGAGTTTGCTGGACATGTTGGATGACATTGACGGTGTGGCGGCGGGTGAGGACATCGGCCGCGACCTCGGCCTGCACACGGGCATCGCACTCGTCATCATTGCGCAGCTGCGGCGCTTCCTGCGGGCACTCAAGCGACGGGGGGCCGTCCAGTGGCCACCTGGCGATGGTGTGAGGGGTGAGGGAGGCCTGGCTGCCGGCCAGCTGTGGGACTCAGCACGTCTGGTGTCGGCCATCGAGCGTGAGATGGACATGATGGCCGCCGACAAGAAGCAGCGCCACGGCGGAAAACTACAGCACGTCATCGACAAAATCAAAGAGGTGAGTCCACACACAACACACACAGCACGTGTCAATGTCTGTGCTGTGTGTGCAGTATGGCATATCAGGCATGAGCATGTCACTGCTGGTGGAGCCGCCCCAAGACAGCGATGGGTCTGATGAGGGGCGGGTGGAGGCGGCGCTGATCGATGCGGCCCGAGAGGCCGTCTTCGGGGGCATATCTGACGTGGCAGTCGCCAAGTCGTTCATCCGCCGCACCATCAGCCGACAAGACCAATGAGCCACCAGTGTGCGTGTGAGCGAGGAACCGACAAGACCAATGACGACCAATGGCACACGGCGATATCGGAATCTACCTTTCTTCATTTCTGCGGCCACCCAGTTTTTTCCCTGAAAGGTGTATCGCACTCTATACACGCGTTTTTCCCTCCTGTGTCCGTATGGCATCGCACGTGGCCGTTAGTCAGGCGCCAGACAGACAGACACATGTAGACCAGCTTGGCCTACGCTTATAGACAGACAGCTTGACGGATGTGTGGATGTAAATGTTTTAGGTGCTGTCGTGGAAGGCCATGGAAGAAATGGCCGTGTATGACCGTCTCATGGCCGTGTGTCCGTTGGTCGACAGGGCTAGTCAGGTGATGATTTACAGCTTTCTATGTATGTCATCCCTGCCTCGATGGTGTTTGGGTCTCTGTGCTTGACCAAACGTGTGATGCTTGTCGATGGACGGACAATGAGTCGAGCGCCAGTGTGACGCGACGATCGGTCTGGCGGGAGTGAGAATGACCGACCCACATGCACCTCCACTCTCTCTCCGCGCGCTCCACCGATAGCTATAACAGACCTGCCATCCATCCACACACACACAAAACAATCACCACACATGTGCCAACGTACACGTCCGAAGAGACATGTCTTTATGTATACACAATCAGAAAGGCCGAGCGACGCAAAGCACTCGGCACACTGTGTGTGTGTTTGAGTGAGCGAGTGACGGCAAGCGACAGTGAGTGACCGGCACGAGCGAGCGATGGAGAGCAGGGAGGTGATGAAGGAGCCCGTCCGTGAGTCAGACCGTAAGTACCCTCTGCTCCTCGCAGACCTCACCCGACAGCAGGTATGCATACTCTCACTGCTCGACAGAGAGAGAGAGAGAGAGAGAGCAGCTGCAGAGCACTTGTTGTTTTGCATGATAATGTCTCTGTTCGTTCCTTGGATCAGTCGTTCGTCAAGTACTCGCCGGTTGTGTTCATCGCCTTCCTCTTCGGACTCATCTACGTCGCACACATTCTGTCAGTGGACTCAGTCCACCCACCATGCCAGAGAAGGAGGGAGACATGTGAGTGTGTGTTGTTTCAGGTATCGCATCTTGCCGCTGCTGCAGCGTGCGTTGCCCGCCAAGATCCGCAACCACGACATCGAGACGCGTAATGGGAGACCACACATCATGACTCACCATTGTCTATCAATGTTGATGGACCTCTCTCTGTTTCTCTTTCTGACGTGCAGAGGGCTGGATTGAGGCGGTTGTGCTGCACTTTCTGTTGGGGTTGTTTGTGTGGTCGTACGCCCGTGCCGTGTTGGAGGACGCCGGCTTCATTCCTAGCCGCCAGTGGTCGACAGAGCCGGCAGACGAGCTCGTGATAGAGCGCAAGGAGAACGGCGACAAACGATTCTGCAAATACGAGAAACTCTTCAAACCAGGTGCGTGAGTGGATGAATGGATGAATGTGTGCACCGGTCACTTGTATGTCGGTTGGTATATTGTTTATTCATCAGACAGGGCGCACTACTGCCGGCCTCTCGGCTGCAACATCCTCAAGATGGACCACTACTGCCCGGTTTGATCTCATACCGATCAGCTGCAGATGGATCGGTGAGCTTGTCCCCTCCGTGTGCCATGTGTCTGTCTGCAGTGGATCGCCAACTGCGTGGGATTCAGAAACCAGGCACGAAACACGCAGTAAAGGACCAACCACACATGCATTGCATGTGTGTGTCTGTGTGTGGGTGTGGGTGTGGGTGTGGGTGTGTGTTTCATGCATCCATCAGAAGTACTTCTTCCTGTCCCTGCTGGTGAGAGGGAGGGAAGGCAGAGAAGGAGGGAGGGACGATTGGCATCTTGTTGTCGGTGGTGTCTCTTCTCAGTACGCTGTGTGCGTGCTGCTGATGGTCGATTTGACACTCACGCCGCGATTCGCCGTCTACGCCGAGGACCCAATGAGCACATACGGTGAGGGAGACAGGGAGACAGTCAGTGAGGCATGTAGATGATGTCTCTCGTGTTGGACTGCAGGTACGTTGATCATCGTGCTGTTTGGGATTGTGCTGTCGTACATTCTGACTTTGGTGGTTGGCGGGTTCTTTCTCTTCCACTGCTGGCTCATCTCCCACAACATGACAACCATCGAATTCTGTACCTACAACAACGACCGACACACACATCAGTTGACACTGGAGTGTATGTCTCATGGATGGATGGATGGATGTGTGTGTAGGTGAGAAGCGCCGCAGAGAGGGTGAGCGTCCCAATCCATACGACATGGGCATCGTCGAGAACATCATCCAAGGTCATTCACTCGTGTGCACACGAGAAGGAGATGGATGGATGGATGGATGGGGGCACCCATGAGTGTGTGTTTTGTGTCAGTGCTGGGCGAAGACATTGACAAAGTGCTCGTCCCGCTGCCCCTCCCCAGTCAGCCAAAACCTGACTCTGTGGATGCAAGAATGAATGAGCGGATCCTCTCTCCCTCTGTCTGTGTGTGTGTGTGTGTGTCAGCGAGCCAGAAGCGTCGATTTGGGTACGGCACTGTGTTCCCACGCGTCGACAGAGTGACCGGCCAGCAGGTGCAGGTCGTCTGAGCAAAACCCGCCACTGACCGACCAACACACAGACCGACACACCGCGACATGCGACAGGAATGAAATCGCTGACGTTCAGCCAGCAAATGGACTGACAAACTGATCGATCGATGAATGTATGTCACGCGCACTGATCGATCACATTGCATTCATGATCAAGAAAGGGGAAGGATCACATCGACCTCGAAGCTGGTGCTGATGGTGAGAGAGAGGGAGAAAGGGAGGAACGGACAGATGGACCCATGCTTGCAGTCTGAGAGACGCACTTCAAAGGACAAGTGTTACAGGAGGTATGTGATGCGATTGTCCGTCGACTGATATTGAGTAATCCATCCATTCATTCATCGGTTTGGGCACCAAAAATAGGTCAACAATTCAAAAGACGCCAATTGATCGCATCCGTCCATCGAGCAGAGTGTCACCCAGCAGCAGTCAGTCATGAACAAACAGCATATCAGTCACACCCCTCCGTCCCCTTGGTCCGTCTCTCTCTCCGTTCGCGGCCATCCATCCGTCGCCAGTAGGCGACCGACCAGATACCCACCCACCCACTGACTCACACATACACGCATTGAAAGTCTTTAAACCCTCCCTTGATTGAAATCCACAAGTACATATAAGACGTCATCTCTTTACAGCAGCGCCTGACTCAGCGGGCCAGCACGACATGCACAACGCTGATTCAAACGGCAACCAACCCACACAGACACACATACACACAGACAGAGCTCAGCTCATATCAGCACAGAACGCACACCGAAAAAGGGAGTGATGGAGACCCCTCTACAAGCAGCCGTTCCATCTCCTGGTCCGGGTAATCAGCATCACCATCGCCAGCAGGAGCACCAGCGCCAGCATCAGCATCACCGATCGCATCTCGAGCGTGGCCGCCTGGAGTCCCGAGCCGCCGCTGCGAGGGGCCTGGTTGGCGTTGCCGATGACCGTCGTCTTGCCAGTCGGTGTCAGGATGCCTCGAAGGACCATCGTAGCCGTGCCCGGATCCCTGACGAAAGATACCAAACACGAAAGAGAGAGTGATGGCACACGTGGGCTTATCAATCATCCATCTGCCCGCACCTTGTCAGCTGGACAGTGGTTGCTGCCTCGGTTTCCGCTTGCGCATCGTCTCGTCCTGCCTCTTCTTCGTCTTCCTTGACGCGCAGCCGCAGCATCTTCCTCGGCTGCGCCTCAGTGGGGGGTGCAACGGCGGGTGCTGCACTCATCTTCAGGTTGGACCGGACACTCATGTGCGTCGTTGTGGCTGTTCTCAGAGAGCTCACGGAGAGGGATGGCTGGAAGCCAGGGACCAGGGACGGTCCTGGCTTGGATGCGTGCCGTGCATGACCTGCTCCCGTCCCTCCCCTGTCGATGGCCGAGGCCGTGAGGCACAACACGGCCATCACAGCAGCGCCGACCTTCATCTGGCAGCAGATAACGCAGATCTTGGCTTCATGGTCAGATCATTGCTGTTGTGCACGTCCAGTCGAATCACAGAAGGCCTGCCCCTCTTAATGCCAAGCTCGCAGATCTATCCGTAAAACCGCTCTCTCTCCTGCGATTTTTGAGGGGAACGAGAGGAAAGGACGCCCCAATGCACCCTCTGATGCACTGGCACCATATCCTGGCGCTAATGTTGATTTGTTCATCATCGTCAGCCATCCACCTTGCTGCGCCCTTTGCAGACACTGCCTTTGCTGCATTACAACCCTTGCGGCAGGTCAGCAGGACGTCCCGAGAACCAGCACTACGGCAAAATGTCAAGATGGCCGCGCTAAGCGATGGTGATACCATTGTGGTTGCAGGTAAGCAAAGCACGAGAAGACAGGTTGGTGGGAAGAAGATCTGTGTGCTTTTCCATCGCAGGTGCCACGGGAGGTGTTGGGCAGCTGGTCACGCAGCGTCTTGCACAACTTGGCCGATTCAAAGTAAGGTCAGGGACCGACAACGTCCTGCAGATCTATGCATATAACAACACGCAGGTCTGTTGCTTCTGCTTCATCAGGTGCGCGCCTTGTCCAGGAGCCCTGAGAGAGCCAGCGGGCCTGGGGGGCCGCTCGAAGCACTCGCAGCGCAGGGCGTTGAAGTGGCAAGGGGCGATGTGAGAGACCCATCAAGTCTACCGAGTGCGCTTGCAGACGCCAGTGCAGTCGTCGTGTGCACCGGCACAACCGCTTTCCCGACAGGTAACACCACATGCGCAAAGAGATACACAGCAGGCCATGGTTGTGCTATGTCGGTGTTTGTGCACAGGCAAGTGGAAGGGAGGCAACACTCCCAAGGCGATCGATGAGGAGGGAACCAGAGCAGTAGTGGAACAACTGAGGAAGCAGGGCGGCCTCAAGAAATTCGCTCTGCCAACGTCGATCGGCGTGCGTCGTCCTGGACAGCTGCCCTTCTCCATCCTCAATCTTTTCGGGGTATTGGATGCGAAGAAATCGGGAGAGGAGGCTGTCATGTCGGCGTCAAAGGAGTGCGGCTACGATTATGTCATCGTCAGGTGAGCAGAGGGACGATGGCGCTTGCTTGCAAAAGTCTTGGCGAGCGATGCCTGGCTGCTGTGGTGTGTCTGTCGCATCAGGCCAGGGAGGCTGATTGGTGGTCCGTATACAAACCCGGACGTGGCGACACTGCTCAAGATTGAAGGTCGGCACACACACAAACAAACAGGTGTATGCAATTGAATGATGGCTCCATCCATTCGTCGTTTCGTGTGTGAATGAACGGCAGGCGGCGACAAGCAGAGAGTGGAGATAGCCCCGGGCGACCAGATGGCAGGAGACTGCCTGCGCGTATCCGTCGCTGAGGCCATCGTGCAGGTATACCGATCCCCCCATCAAAGAAGCGACCGACCGACAGACCCATCTATCTGCTCTGTGTCGGGTTGGGTTGCATTGTCAGGCTCTCCTCTGCCCAGCACTGGATGGTGTGAGTATCGATTTTTCGATCATCAACTCCAAGGGCGACCCGCCGACCGATGCGGACTGGGGTGAGGCCATGACGAAGCTGGAGACGCACTTTAGGGCAGCAGGGCAGACCCAAGTAGCGTAGCGACAGACATGATTTGTAGAGTGAATGTGGCAGTTGAGCTGACAAGAGCTGCTGCGGTCATTCATGAGGGCATGTGTTTGATCCGATGCGGCCGTTACTGTCTGGCTGCTGTCCTGTTCATAGTCTGTCCGGGATGGGTGTGTGTATGATGGACGCCCCGACTGACCGTGTTTTTCTGTGAATGCCGCATCTGAGCGAACGAATGACAGCACTTTCCCATCCGCACAGACAGACCGCATCGCCGCATCTGAGCGAACGACAGCAAGCCACTTGAGGGTTGCCGTGTCGCACCCACATGCGCCTGTCTTCCCTGTGGCCATTCCCTGTGGCCATTCCTGTGGCTGCTTGAGCTCCGAACTCTCACTGGCTGACACTTACCGATATGCCCCTTCATTGATGTGGTTAGTCAGACGTGCATGACGCTCATTGACAAAATGTGTCTCTCTCGTCCGTCCCGCGTGTATGTACTCGCTCTCGCGCAAAGAGGGCACTGTGTGCGGCCATCAACCTACGCCATGCCAATGCAATGCACCCGTCCCTAATACTTTACTCATCCACGCATCAAAACTCGCCGATAAAACGAGATCGCATCACACAGATACAATACAAACCTCAGTCAGCCTCTCTGTCCGCCGATGGCATCCATCCTACTATAAAACGGCCAGGCCGCGACCGCCGCAATGCACGTATGTATGTGGGAGAGCCAATCTCACCCATTATATTCCCAATGTATGCCGCACTGCACCGCACACGGCCGGCCGCCCAGCCGCACGAATGAATGAAGCCAGTCTGTCTGTCCATGCCACGCCTTACTAAACCACAGATAAATGAATGCATCGTTGAAGAATCCGCCTGTGTGTATGGTTTGTATGTGTGTGTGTCAGTTCATGTCAGCTGCCCATGCGACGACGCCCAGCGCCCCGCCGGCGATGACGGCCAGCGGGGCCGATATCTTGAAGGCAAACACCATCGCAAACGCGATGAAGCCGATGCAGACTGCCGCATGTGGGAAAGGGCTCGTGTTCAGGGCCTGCAGGCAGCGTCAATCCAATCCAATCCACAGACAGCAATGCATTCTCATCATGACGGTGAGGGTTGGCAACATGGCCATATGGACGTACCGATAGGGACAGCTGCGCACATGCGGCGAAGACGAGGCCGACAGCCGACGCGTTGAGGCCGGGCAGCGCCCGTCGGTAGACCTGCGTCTTGCGCAGGGAGGTCCAGAAGGGCAGCACGCCAAAAATCAGAAGGATGCCGGGCAGGAACAAACCAATCCTGACACACACAACCACAGAGAACGATCACACGCACTCGTTTGCCTTTCCAGTTGGTGTGTGATTCTCACTCACCAGCAGAGGAAGGCGCCCCCCGCTCCGCCGACAAGGACGCCAATGTAACCAGAAATGTTGAACAGCGGCCCTGACACACACAGACATGCAGCAATGGTTGCCTCGGTCGTCATTAACTCACACACCTACACCCACCTGGCATTGCCTGTGCTACTGCCAGCCCTGTGAGGAACTCCTCCTGCGATATCCATGACGGGCCGCCATCGCGCACAGTAGGCAGCTCCTTGTCCACACACGTCTGATGGAACACAAACCAGGCACCACGACATGAATGACCGCCGGAGTCCTCTGTATCAGTCAGTGTGTCAGTGTGTCAGTGTGGTGTGTGCAGGGCCGCATTTTCTCACCGTCCCCGCGTCGGGGTCGCATCTGTCGAACTGCACGACCGTCCTGCACAAGAACACAAGTAGACACCCAACAACACAACGCGAGCAGTATCCGCCAAACTGGTGGGGGCAGCATACTCGAGTATCATGGGCAGCACCACCTGCCCGCCGCCGAAGATGAAGCTGCCGATGCGGTAGAAGGCCTCGAACCAATGCAGCGGCGGGGCGTCCTCGTAAGGCACGGTCGGCCGCACACACACCATAATGATGAGAATGGCCGCCCACGAAAACAGCAGGACCCCACCCAGCCACAGAGGAATGCCCTTGCCGACCTGCAGTGCACCCAGGCACCACAAAGGCACAAGGCAAATGGTGCCAGTTAGCGATATCCAGTCCCCTTTCTCCGCCCACGGCTGACCTTGGTGGAGAGGGTGGTTTCGTTCTTGAGAGTGAGGTCGTGGTGTCTGATGGTGTGTTGGATGGTGGTCACGATGCCGCCAAACACTATGAGGGTCGGGAAGGTCCACGCCTCGGTGTGGTAGTATGCGATCACAGCCGAGAACACACCCAGACCCTGTGTGGTGTGTGGGCAAACAGACGAGGGAAAATCTGATGCCATGTGTACAGAGCCTCCTTCGTGGGAGCACACCTACCTGTGTGACCCAATCTGTGAGCAGTTTCTTGCCGAGGCCATACGCCGCCGACCAGACGAGGGCCACACCGGCCGTCCCCAGCCCCCCCGTCAGGCCACGTATCCACGAGTCAGGCAGCTTCAGCAACTCGCCAAGGCCATAACCTGCAAACACGACACAGATACAGATACACCAAATGCGGCTGGCTAGCCGATGCCGCTTACCAGCGAATGTCTGGATAATGAACCCCGGCAGCAGGAACATGAGCCCTGTGGCAATGCCGCCCAGCAGACCTGCCTGCGTCGTGCCCAAAGCGAACGAAATCTGGAGCAAAGAGGAAGGAGGGACAGTGGGCAGTGGGTATCCCGGCCAGTGCCTCTCTTTACTCCTGTGGTACCTGTGTGGATGTCGGTCCCGGAAGGCACTGGCCGAGTGCAATCATCTCGGTGAACACGCCCATCGATATCCACTTGCGACTGCAGTCGACAGACAGACAGGCAGCCGTGACCCCATTGTGTGTCTGCTGTATGCGTGTGTGTCACTCACCGCTCGACAAACTCCTTCTCGTAGATGCCGAGGTGGGCCATCGGTCCCCCGAAGGCCACGAAGCCGAGATAGCCAAACCCTGTGAGGATCCCACGCCAGCCCTCATGACGGCCCTCCTCATCTATGCAGTCACATCACACATTGCACATTGCATGCAGCCAAAGACACAGCGTCGGCATGATCAAGCCACCACTTGCAGCCATGCTTGTTACCTTCCCTGGCCTTGGTCTCGTCGTCCTGGTCCTTGTCTATCTCGAGGCTGGTCTGGTCGTCCTTGGTCTGGTCATCGGAGTCGCCCCTCCCCTCAGATGTGGCGACCTCCTTGACCTTCCCGATCTCCGTCGTGGGCGTGCCGTTGGTCCGCATCTCCAACGTGCGCGCGTCCTCCCCCTTCGGCTGCATCGATGAGCGGGGGTCGGCAGAGACTCACGCAAACCGGGAGATCTTGGCCAGATCTTACACAATGAGTGACCAGACAACAAGGAGAGCCCGCTTATGATGATGAGATACCCCACGGTCGCTCTGCGAAGAAAAGCTCGCAGGCGGATCGAAAGAGAGGAGAGAAAGGAAGTGTAAGCGACGCGAGAGTACCCGTGTGAGGCGTGCAGTCAACCGATGCGCTGAGCTATCAGCGCGGCTGAATGAATTACTGCTCTTTCTGTGAGTGAGCCCTGACTGATCATCCCTTGCCTGCGACGCACGGCAGATCTGTCGTCGAGAGATGCATTCTGCCGGCTCCTACACGCCCACTTCCCCCTCATCTGCCGACCATGAGGCGTCACCCCAGTCCGGGTCCAGCTCCTTCCGGCGCGTGAGCATCAACTTCGCTCCCGAGAACCTCTCGCCAGAGATGCCCCACGCCACACCCAACATGATGGCGGCCGACGAACAATCGCCAGATGGACAACCCGCACAGACGGGCATCACGGCCCTTGATCTTCGTGGTTCGATGACGCAGGGCGAGTTGGTGTCCGAGGGTGCCAGTGGTCGGCAGGAGCCGGTGTTGGCCGGCGATAGGAGCGAGCCGGTGACGAGCAGGGCTACGACCAAGGGGCTGCTGTCTGTCGGACGTGAGATGGACGTGCAGACGACCCCGAGCCTGCGGGGAGGCGGCGAGAGGGTCGAGAGGGGGGCTGGCGATGGCGAGGCAGCAGCAGAGGAGGACGAAGATGTCGATGCGCCGGTTATCGGATTCCGACCCGAAGGTGAAATAAAAATCACACTCCCACAGGCTCGAGGAATGCATTCGTCTCATCACTTCGTGTCGCGTGTGTGTGTGTGCTGTGTTCCGCTTTGCTTTCAGTTCGGCCCTACGCCCGCCCCCGGAGGAGCTCCAAGCTGCGTGGTGGCGCGTCCACGTCCCCCACCAAGCAGCGCGGGTCGGCCGCCCCTCCCGCCCCCTCTGGTGTGACATCACCCCCAGCCGCACACCAGACACCCAAGGGAGGCGTCGAGCCGCCCCCAATAGACTACGACGTATTCTCGCTCACCTCATGGATGGGCCAGCCGGCGGCCGCAGCCAGTGTCGCTGCCGCTGCGCCCCCTCCTTCCGATGCGGCGACGAGCAAGAGCGACACACACGCTGACAAGAAAGCCATGCAGGCCGCCCATGCGGCCATGATGCAGCAGCAGAAAAAGGCGGCTGCGGGCAGGGGTGGGGAAGCGAGCCGGCGGCGGGATAGCACCTTGAGGAAGAAGTCGACGGTGGAGCTGGATGCCGACATAGGGAGGGAGATCGGCATGCGGCGGAAGGGCAAGGTGCAGCTGCCCAAGCGCATCACGCGCCGGGTCGGAGGGCGCGCCAAGGGGTACGTGGGGCAGCCGCCTGTGGGGGTGGGCGTGGCGCCCCCTTCGTCTTATGGTGGTGATGAGGCGGACGAAGGGGATGAGGAGGATGCGGAGGGCCCGCCGCCGGTCGACTACATCATACTCATAGTGCATGGCATTGGGACCGACGAGGGGAGTCTGCAGAAGAATGTCGACAACTTCGCTGCCACACTGTCGTTCATTAGGGAACACTGGTACGGGCCAGAGAGAGAGAGAGAGAGAGAGAGAGA